GTGAATTCAAATGTGGTGGATAAGATAAAGTCATATATCTGCGCGGCCCAATCAGTAGTTCAAGTCACACACTCCCATAATCCTTTTTTTCTTCGAAGAATTCCCTTCAACTATTCGTGTTTGTCAAATAAATAATCCAATTTTGTGAAGTTGAAGGGAAATATCCAAATACATGTCTTATTATTTTAAATAAGACATATTTGTAGCAATGAAATACTATTGTTCTCCTCCCCCAAATGGTAAATGATTGATTCCAAATATCTATGATCCATATTCTCTATAAAGGACCGGAAATGCCTTGCTTACGTATCATTGGAAAGTGCATTAACATAAATACGGCAGTAAGAAGAGGTAATACAAAAGTGTGTAAACTATAAAAACGAGTCAAGGTAGATTGGCCCACACTAGCACTTCCGCGTAATAACTCTACCAAAGATGATCCTATTACAGGAATAGCTTCAGGTACGCCAGTTACAATTTTTACTGCCCAATAACCAATTTGGTCCCAAGGTAAGGAATAACCAGTTACACCAAAGGATGCGGTCAATACAGCCAAAACTACACCCATAACCCAAGTCAATTCGCGAGGTTTCTAAATAATACCAAATGTGGCCTAAAGGAGTAGCAAAGCAGGAACTAACAGCAACATGGAAAATAACTAGCAACAGCAAATAGAAACAAACAAAATGAAAAATACCAAAGCTAGGGAACAAAAAAGTCAAGAACACTGGTTCCTAGCCTTAGACATAGATGAAAGATCAAAAACTAGGACATCAACCATGGGAGAAAGGGGCACTTCTCCCTGCGATAAAAGCCAAGAGCTTTGCCAAGATTAGTGAAGTCCACTGGAATCAAGCAAATTCCTTTCGAACAAAATGAAGCATTAAGCATATCTTGCACCAGTGGAGAAACAAAACCTTCCATAATCCTTACAAAATTAAGTAGCTTAAATCCTAGACCTCAAGTCATCCTTAATTTTTCCACCAAATGATCTAAGAGGATTAGCAGGAATACAACAAATTGGAGTTGGACAAGATTAACAGCACTACCCCCATTCAAAAACACAAATGCAGAAGCACCAATATGCAAAAGCAAAAAGCCCCAACAACACACAGCAATAACGTAGCATATACCAATCTAGAGAAGGATAGTTCAAGAAAACCATCTCCAGTATATCCCATTTCCAAAACACTGACCCTGTGTCACCCTCAATTGGCCTAGCGCAGTCTTGTTGTCACCATAGCTTAAATTTCCTAAGCTATTTACTTTGCTTTTCTCTCCAATCATTAGAGCACTAGTTGTATTTAATCATCAATAATATGATCAAATATTGTACGTTTTTTAACGTACTCCTAGTTTCTCATCCAACTTCGGCACTTTAAGAAAATTGTGATAAAGAACCTTGACAACTCACACATTTGCTTGATCTACTATTCACTTTGAAGATTAATTCCTCTAGCATGCTTAACCTCCTTTCAAAGGCCACAATGCTCCGTGCCTATATCCCAAAACTAAGCCAACACAATGAAAAGATGATGATAATAAATTAAACGGGGAAAATAGCGAGAGTGTGAGAAGTATATTTGATATTTCAAATGATTAAGGTGAATAATACATTTGAAATTACAAATAAATTATAATAAAATATAAATTTAGATTTAATTCAAATTCAAATTCATGAATTTTTATAAATTTAATTCCTGTCCAAATACATCCACATCTAAAAGTAACATTAAGATATTAAGATATTTATGTGTGTTAAGAAATGCAACAAATATGACAAACTTCTTTTTGGTTTTTATACCTTTCCAAATTGGTCATTAATTCATTTTATAATTAATAAAAAGAAAATAAAGAAATAAGACTATGAATGCTGTTTTATACTTCATACACATTAATATCATATTGAGATTACAAATAAGGATATAATCAAAAAAGGACAAAATTAGTCATTTGATTTTTTAACTTTTAATTCAATTATGACACAATTTTTCAAGTTTAACTCGTCACAATTCAATCTTTTAATTTTGGTTCATTTAAAAATTTCACCCTTGCCATGAGTCAATCAGACAAGACCAAATAAAAATATCAATAGATATGGTCTAATTAAAAGGACTAGTTTTTCCTAACACAACGAATCAAAATTTGAATCTGCCTACATTTAAAGTATGATCATACTTCGAATAATATTACCTTCAATAAAATAACATTTGTGAACAATAAAAACAAAAAATATCAATAATCAATAAATATATGGTATTAAAAATCTGTTAAAAACATGTGTAAAATGTCAGAAAATTTCAAAAAACTTTTTTTAACCGGCACCAAAAATCTATTAATTTTGGTTCATTTAAAATTTTCACCCTTGTCATGAGTGAAGTCAGACAAGACCTACTTATTAGTCACTCGCTTACATGACATTCTTATCAACAACACATCATATTTACCTGTCAATATAATTTGATGCATATAGAAATTTATATAGAGACATAATATTCACAAATCATAAAATATGCAACTCATTATTTAAATTTCACGCAGGGCACATAAAAAAAAGTGTAGCATTAAATAAATGTATAATAAATAGTATTATTTTCATGTCATAGATAAATCAACTCAAGAGGTATTTCATCATCAACATACTCAAGTATAAAATATATTACTCCTAATCAAAATAAGTCCATTGCTTCCAATTTTGTTTTGTCTCTAGATCTCTTCCTTCCACTCCGTCAGCCGTAGCTTTCCTGCTTTGTCATTCATAGTCTAACCATTTTCGTTTGCTTGTTCAAAATGCTCCAAAGTCTGAACCCGTCTCTGTTCCTTTTAATTTCTTTTTCTTTTTTTTTTTACTTTTTGTGATTTTATTTTTTAATACATTGGCAAGCAAATATGATGTGTGGCTGACAAGGATGCCATCTAAGCATTGTTTGTGACACATAAGCATGTCTAATTTAATTTCTCATGATAAGAATGAAATTTTTAAATTGATCAAATTTGAGAGATTAAGTCTTAATAAGTTATACTTGAAAGATTAAGTTAAAAGTTGAAGTATAGAATAACTAATTACCCCAAATAAAAATATCAATAGATATGGCCTAGTCAAAAGGACTAATTCTCCCTAATGCAACAAATCAAAATTTGAATCCTCCTACATTTAAAGTATGATCATATTTTGAATAATATTACTTCCAATAAAATAACATTTGTAAATAATAAAAAGAAAAATCAATAATCAATAAATATATGGTATTAAAAATCTGTTAAAAACATGTGTAAAATACTAGAAAATCCCAAAAAACCCTTTTTTTTTTACCAGCACAAAAAATACTTATATTTTATTATATTTGTAATGTTTGGTATCTTATAGGAATAATATATTTTGAAGACAGATTTATGAGGATACATCTTTATTTAAAATTCTTTAATACTACATTGTTTTGGGGTAATCATGTAGCTAGGAATTTCTACAGTGTTAATAACGTTGGAAAATAAAATTTATTGAAGAAAACATCCATTTGGTATAGAAAAATTTAGATGAGTAGGATTACGAGGATTTATCGGCATGTCATTAAATTTAAAAAGTATTTATAAAAATACTAACTAATCACCCACCACCAAAATTAAATTTGATCCCAAGATTGGATTGGCCCAACATTTGTTTGCTATTGAAGACAACATTCATGTTAACGCATGTCACCAACCATTATTCATATTTATTGTTCCAGAGGAACGTCGAAATTGCTAATTGTGGTCATAATTAAATAATTACAACGAATATTTTGTAGTAATTAATAACGTCACGTCATTGAACAAAATTTAATTTAATTTAATTTAATGATTTACTTCGGTCATACGACCTCACTGACGTCAGCACTATGGACCCAAAGGTCAATAAAGTGGTACGGATCCATTTGATATTAAACTATTCCACGATTTTTTTGGCCAGCTGTACCGAGAAAAATATTAAAAAAAAAATTAACTCATTTGTTTATATAAATCAAACGCTGCATATATGACTTTTTTTTTTATTGTACACAGCTTTACTTTTTTTTTTTTTGCAAATTTCAAGATACAATCACATATTAAATGCAAATATTTATTTTAACAGAATTTGAACACTTTTCATTAAATTTATTAAACTGCTACCAACAATCAGGTGAGAGGACATTTCTATGTCCCATTAATTCGTAGACAACTTAGTATCTGTTATTATTATTAATTTCTAAATGAAATGATTTTTCAGATAGTCGAGTTTAAATCCCATGTTGCCATCAATGCTTTCACGTTACAGTTAGCATAAATAAAAATCATAGAACACCGTCACAGGGGAATACTTGATTTTCATATTTCAATAGCATAGAAGATTTGAGTAGATTTTTATATTTTGACAAATATAAGTTATTGCTGTTAAAGCTTTTCTTTTTAATTAAACTCTAATATAACATCTGGATTTTTGCCAGAATCAAACAGATTTCTCTTCTATTTTCAAAATCAATACAAACCTCTCTAAATTATATATCTGAAAAGTGTATAAATATCTCTTAGGTTTAAAAATATAGAACCCTATATCTTCATTATATTTTTAAAAAAAATCAAAAAGATAATTATTGAACAATTTCATAAAATTGTACGAAACTTGAAAATTAAGAAAATAGTGAAACTTACTTTTTATTTTTATGAAAATTTTTCCGAATCTTTTAAAAAATAATGTGTGTGTGTGTGTGTGTGTATATGATTTTAATTTGAAGAAAATCGTATAATTTACTCCAAAAAATATATTATATCTATTCGTACGAGAATGACGATGCTGAGAAAGTGGCACATGCATGCATGCATGCATATGAATTACAACGCTGAAGAACCAGACAACATACAAGAGCGCTTTAAGCAACTGATTCATTAACTTCACATGTAATTAACTTATTTTGAACATAAAACCATGTGATGTGATAACCAATAAATATGCCCAAAAACCTGTCTTTCCAAGCCACGATCAAGTTCTCTTCTCAAGCAAATGAAATTAATTTCCATCACTTTTCCCGCTCAACCTTTTCACAATAATGGCCATAACTACTAACTCAAATCCCTTTATCTTCTTGATCTTCTTCTCCTTCCTTCTCTTATTTCAGAGCTCATCTGCTTTAGACATCAATGTGGAGAGTTTCGGGGCTGAACCGAATGGCATGGCGGACTCTACAACGCCGTTTCTGAAGGCATGGTCACGGGCATGTGAATCAGAAGAGGAAACAACAATTTATGTGCCGCAAGGGAGCTTTTTGGTGAAACAAGTGACGTTCCATGGTCCATGCAAGAAGAAGGTGAAGTTCAGAATTGATGGCACTATTGTTGCTCCTGGAGATTCCTGGTCATTGGGAAATTCTGGGTATTGGATATTGTTCAGAAAGCTTGATGGTCTTTCTATCTATGGAGTAGGCACTATTGATGCAAGAGGCTCTTCTTACTGGGCTTGCAGAAAAGCTCGCAACAACTGTCCTCCAGGAGCGAGGGTAAGTCACTGCCTGAATTGCATGCGTTAATTAGAGTTTAATATAACGCATAGATATAGAATATGGTTTGATAAATAATACTTATTTAGTAAGCTTTGATAATAGAAATTTCTAATTGAAAAGAGATTAATGCAGTAGAAAATAGGAGGCCTCATTTATTGATTAAGAAAAAATTAATACATGTGTTTGTTTGTTATGAACTATGAAGTGGTGAAAGTGACGATAACTGTGCTGTGATAAAAATGCAGTCAATATCGTTTAGTTGGTCAAGCAATGTGGTGGTGAGTGGAATAAAGTCAGTGAATAGCCAAACAATGCACATGGCCATTGATCACTGCAAGAATGTAATAATAGAGAAGGTGAAGATAAGAGCACCAAGCAGGAGCCCCAACACCGACGGAATCAACGTTCAGTTTTCGACTGGAGTCACCATCAGCAACGCCATCATCGCCACCGGAGATGACTGTATTTCCATCAGCCAAGGCTCCGCCCATCTCTGGATAGACCACATCACTTGTGGCCCTGGTCATGGCATTAGGTACATTTAAAATCTAATCAAATAGCTTCTAAAATTTCCAAAGATTCTGACTAATTCAAAACCAATTGAATTGAGGGTCATTTGTTTGGTTGTGACAGCATAGGGAGTCTGGGGAACTATGAGAAGGAGGAAGGGGTAGAGAACGTGACAGTGACGGGTTCGACATTCACAAAAACAGATAATGGGGTGAGAATAAAGTCAAAAGCGCAACCAAGCAATGGATTCACCAGAGATATGGTTTTCAGAAACCTGATCATGCACAGTGTCTTCAATCCCATAATTATTGATCAGAGGTACTGCCCTGGAGCCCCTTGCCATCATCATCAGGTCAGCCTTTCTCCTCCTCCTCCCTCCCTATTCATATTATCATGTAGGACCAGAGATGCTACATGAATAGTTGAATGCATATTGCTTCACATTTTTATAACGTTACCTTCATGAACATCATTAAAACTTGCCCTAGTTGAATACTTTTAAAGGAAAATACAATTATTGCTCTCTATATCTTTTTATCGAATTTTGCTTTTAATTTTTATAATTTTTTTCCAATGTTTTTAATTCTTCTAGTCCCTATAATTTAACATCATTAGGATAAGAAGAATAAACATCACCCAATTTTATTGAAATTATAAAGATTTAAAACATTAAAAAAAATTAAGACTAACTAATATCAAAACCCGATGAAACTATAAGGGATAATGATTGTGTTTTCCTTACTTTTAAATCCAAGCAATTAACTAACAAGCATTGATCTTAGTATGAGAAACTTTAACCATTTACATACATGATTTTGAGTTTGAGTTCATATAAATGTCAAAAATGCTTTTGAACAAGCTACCCTTAATTGCGCCAATAAGGCTCAGTCTTAACCCAATCATATAGCCATAAATCCAGGCGATGAAAAGGCTTGACAACAATACTTCCAACATTTGCACCTAAATCTTTGGTTTTTATTTACACTTCTTGGGTTTGCTTATTCCCCCTCCCCCGAAGAAAAGTACATATATTTTCTCGCCATTTTATCTGCTTTCAATAACTAGCTTCTTCAAGCAGCTTCTGAAAGCTTAAGCACCGCAGCTCATCTATCGATACAACTACTCTTGTAACTCTAAAAGGTAAAAGGCCATCACAAATGATTCTGAACTATCATTTTATTGTGAAATAATTGCAATAGCAGAACTCAGGAGTGAAGATAAGCAGAGTAAGGTACGAAGAGATAAGGGGGACATCGAGGAGTGAAGTGGCAATCAACTTGGATTGCAGCGCAAGTAATCCATGCGAAGAAATCACACTGCGCGACATAAAGCTGACTTATGCTCATGGAACAGCGACCTCGTCTTGTAGAAATGCTGCTGGAACTTCCCGCGGTTATGTCATCCCAAAGAGCTGTCTTTGAAAGTCATATATGTAAAAATCTTTTCTTTTTTATTTTTTTAAGAAAAAAATATTTCTATTGGAATCTTGTTTGTTAAAAATGTGTTGCTGTGTTTTATTCATCAGTATTCTATTAAGTGTATCTGATCAAGGATGGCTAGAGCTTTCTCATTAAACCATGGAGGCTTCTTGTGTGCTTGATTGCATGAATAAAGGTCAAGACTCCACCGTTGGACAATCTAAATCATTTAGATTTACAGACGGGACTGAATTGGAGCATTAAGAGAGAGAGAGGAGAAGGAAAAAGACAATGGAAGTAAAGAGGAAATATAGGTATCACACAATTCATTAACCTTGAAGATCCATTTAAGACAATTTACCCCTGAACAATAAACAAAAGGACAATAAAATGACCAAATTTAACATCTTAGATTATATTTTACAAGGGTCCCCCGCCACCTTGGCAAGGAAAAGAAAAAGAAAAAGAAGAAAACTTGGGAAAATTTTCTCACATGTTCGTTTAGATTCTCTAATAAAAATTTAAAATATTAACAAACCTCTGAAAACATCAAATCATACAACATTGAACTGAAAAATATCAGTATCAATAAATTGCACTAAAAATCTGTCCCGCGACAATAATAACTATACATGCGTAGCTTCTAACCAGTAAGATATAAACAAAATTTACGTACCTAAAAGATTGCCATTAAGGTTATATTATATTAATTTTCCTTCAGAGACCTGCAGAGAATGGATGCAAAATTATGAAATTATACGCAGACTGCTAATAGCAGACATCATAAAATAAGTGGTAATCAGATATTGAAAAAAAATCAAATCCATCAATTTTGAATCTAAAGAAAAAGAGAGTTTGAGTAGTTTAAATGATCCCCTACACAACTTTCTCAGTTGCATCCCAGAAGGAATGGCATCATAAGGACGCTAGATGGCAAGAGCATATAGTGTTGAAGAACAACTAATTAGGTACTTACCAATCCATTTACTTCTTTCGTGTTAATTTAATCCCCCTGATTCGCCCAAAAACCAAGAGTTGTATGGAGATTCTGGTGAAGGAGGTACCATGTTTTTAAAAAATTCTGACGCCTATACTATCTCAGTGGTGATATTGCTTTCTCTAAACCTCCAACTGTCAGCCTAGCCTTTACTACATATATGGGAGTAGATTATTCAATTTTAAACCATTGAACCAAACCTGTTTCTAACCAGTAAATTCACTCAAAATTTGATCTCTCTTGTAAACACCAGCAAATGGCAGTCCTGATCACTACCTTTAATGATTATTAAGGTAATTGCCACTATAGCGTATAGCAGCACAGTCAAATGCATAAATATTTTAAGACGCTTGTGACAACATTGTTTCTACCTATATGAACCTTCCTTTTGCCCTCTTACAACAAAGTCCTGATTCATACAAACCCAATCGCAGGCATGTATCACAGAAAAAAGCAGACAAGATAAACCTAGTTAACAAGGTCAACAAGTACGTGGAGAAAACCCAGAGAAGGAAAGCAGCGTCATTAGGCCATTTGGAAGCCTAGAATTCACTGTAAGAAATATATAACCAGAACTGAAATAGGACGATCTTTAAGGAAAGGCTAAAAAAGCTAGTGAGACCAAACAATTGGAAAACAAGCTACGTCTATTACCTCTCAAGCCTTGACAAGCAATTGAATTTAATGTTTTGACGACTCCCAACTCAAAACTGACTCGTTCCCAAATTTACAACAAAACTAATGATGACTGGTCTGATGATCTATTTGACATTCAGTGGCAATATGTTTGAGCATTACAGATGTAAAATTCAACATGAATAGCCTCTGAACATGCACGTTCTTCATTTTTCACATGTTTTTATGCCAGTATTCCAGTATCAGATTGCACTCTTACAATAGAATTATAAAAACAAAAACAAAGGTAACCACAAAGTTCAAATCACCCAAGGAAGCAGAAGAGAACAGGTGTAAGAATGATAAATGGAAATTCATTTCTCACAAATGCTGACATGGTTTCCTTGGATGTCAATACAGAATAGGAGACGGGTGTCATCTCACCAAGCCAACTTCAGTAATGACTCTTTGTGCCACTCTGCCGGTTGAAATAGGACGCATTCCTCGACCAAAGTGAAAAGGAAAGGCCCCTTGGATGCATGACTGATTTTAAATTAGTTCATGAACTCAAAACTTATTACAACAAGAATTTATAGATCTCATGTCACAACATCCACAACACATCATGATAAGAAATATTCAATCTGATTCTATCAGAAAGAGATTGTAGAGCATAATCATGCATGACTACTAAGTGGTGAATAAGTATCTTGCAAAATAAAAAAGATGCTTTTTAGAGTTAACCTCGACCATTTGACTATGTCATCCCATCTACAGCAAAAGATGATAGATATTATAACAACTCTCAAACAAAAGGTTAATCTACCATTCCTCTCAACTATATGTTGCAATCTTTCTCGAAATGTACTCTTTCCTAGAATCATTTTGCTTTAATAAGTTAATGCTTTTTGGAAGTCGATTCAGAAAATCACTGCATTAAGTAAACAATTTGTTGTCCAGCTTTTTGTCTAATTACCAACTACATCAAGCACACAATTTGTTGATACGAAGATACTGCTGAAAAGACGAACCCATATCAGATATGTATCTAATGTGATACGCTTACCACATTCCCCAATATGCATAACATACTTTAACACCTACGATGCAGGTCTTTCTGTATGATATGTTTGAGACATTTTCAAAATGCATTGGACATTTTTGAAATGCTCTAAAACAGCATAAGAACTTACAAAGAATCTTAACGATGTAAAAGGAAACGAACATTGACATTTAATTTGAGTTGGAATGTATACTTTTAATTTGTTATGTTGTTATCAGAACCATGTTTTGAACACAGTTATTTTACATCTGAAATATTTCTCTGGAACTCAATTTTCTAAAACTAAAATATTTACTTTCAAAATATATATGCTTTCAATTTTCTATTATGCTGTTAGCATTTCATGTGTTACTTTGTTGAATATATATTTGTTGCACCTATATCTTAAAATTTTAAAAGTTATTACATCTTTCATATCTTATCGTGTCATAACCAATAAGCTTATCCATATTGGTACTACTTTCCTAGGCATATCGAACATATTTTCTGATAACCAAATAACTTTTCAATGATTGGATTTAGTTTTGAAGCTCAGAATTTTCGAGAAAGCATGCGATATAAAAGCGCAGGAATGGATTTTATAGCTGTAACATGTCCCCGCCTGTAAATACCAGTGCTTGTTTTCTAAATCATCAATTCCCCATCCTTCTTGTATGATTGCACAACCCTCACTAGTGGCATACTGAACTCAAAAAACAGAGACATCTATAACTCAAGATGGGACTCACACTCCAAATAAACATACACGGCAGCTTGAACATGTAAATAACCATATTTGTAGGAAATTTAATACAATCTAAAAGCTATTTGAAAGCGGAACATAGATGTTCCTTGATAACAAGTAGTTCAGATTTTTCTTACTATAAATGGAAATGTAGATGATAGTTTGAAACTAAATATTTCTTGCATGTATAGTTACAGCAAGGAAGGTAAGCTATATACTTTGTAATGTGGACACAGTTGGGTAGAACGAATGTTACGCAGCTAATTTAAAAGAATTTATCGTCAATTATTAATAAATGTAACTTGAACCTCAGTTGTTTGATATTATTCTCAATTCCTCATCATAATTAGTCTCATTCTTATATTATTTATTATTCACTTACTCTCACAAGTATATTGAAGTGTCATACTATGTCCATAAATTTCCCTGCACTGTTTTAGTCGCACATGATGACTAATTATCATCTAATAGACTCATGAAGAGGCCCCTTTCAATAATTACTATGCAATTCGTCAAGTTTAGTAATTAAAATTTCAGACTTGAGGTTATTCTGGGCTCTTCAACTTTGCTAAACGTCTTAGTGTCCTGAAGCAATATGTTCTGGAAGTTTTTTATGAACTAAATTTCAGCCTTGCTTTGCTACACTTTTTCACCTAAAGTCCACAAAACTGTTTTAACCATAATCCTAGTCGCACATGTACAGAAAAAAATGAAAAAACTTAAATAGTTTATTAGCAACAATGATCCAAGGCAGAAATCAATAGTTCCGTTTCCACCCAGCACTCATGAAATTTAATAGGCCCTTTTCCATATGAAACCAAAATGAAAATATGTAACTTTACCATATATATTCCATAATCTAAAAATGTTTCATGTACACCCTCAGAGAATAATAAACACTTCAACTGTACAAGGACTAGGGATTAAGAGAGAGATCAGAGACAGATGCTACAACTACCTTTTAAGAGAAACAAAGCACTCCACAGAGCCGTCAACTGAGAGGAAAACGGAACCACATTTGGACTCAACAATAAGAAAACTGATAGTTTATTATAGTTAATACCTCAAGAGCTAAAGCAGAAAGGATACCTTTTCTTCTAATTAGAGGACAAATTTTCATTGGAATATTATTAGAAAAAGGAGAGGCTGCAAATTTTGCTCCAGCAAGAAACCTTATTCTTTGTTACCAAATTTCTCAGCAATAATTGGACGGACATCATCTGCATCAGCCAGTATCTCTAGGAAGGGAAGTAATGACATCAGCGCACAATCTGATGGATCATCAAACCAACTCTTTATTGGAATTCCATTATTCACTTGCAAGCGGAAAACCTGTAATTTATGACAGGAGAGCAAGAATTAATAATTCGGAACATAATTTCTCCCCTTCCCACTCCTAGGCTAGACAATGGCATTCCAGGTTAAAAGGTTATTCTTGACTAAATGGAAGGAATCGCATATATTTTCTTTGTTCTATTAGCCTCCTCTCAGGACAAGTTAAACGCTAGTTCTCATCTAATGCTTTCTTGTAGATTACTCAAGATAAATCTCTCAAGCAAACTTTAAGCTAAGCATGAAATTTTCAGAATCACCTAATGTAAATGCAAAGGCCCAGAAAAAAAAAAAAAAAAAACTAATCAATGAGGGCCATAATAGATTTGGTGTAACTCAGCCATCTGTTTTTTGTTCCTTTTTTCATCAATTAAACACCCCCTAGTAAACGTATCCTTTGTCACTTAATAAAATGACTGCCATGGCCCAAGTTTTGACAAAATTATCAACTCTCAAAGAGAATGAAGTATTCAAAAGGGAAGAAAGAAAGAAATCACCCTGGACAAAATTCAATGCTTCAGCAGAAACTAAAAACACTTAAAAGTACAGAACAAAACTAATAAAAAGAAAAGTTAAGCGAACCATCAAATGAGAGGAGGAGGTTCTGTCTGTACCTGAGGGGAATTATCAACTATGGCAACTTTTGCAAGATCAACACCTAATATTGTCAGATCTTTTGTGTAATTACCATCTGAAAAAATGCAAGATTCACGGTATATTCGGCGAGAAATAAGTTTCCCATCAGGATCCAATACATCAAGTAGTTGTTTCGCATAAATGCTTTGACTGGCAGTAAAAATAACTACTTCAAACATCTCTGCTACCCTTTCCAAGAAAGTGTGGAGGTATGGCCTCTTTCTTACATATACTGTGTAATCTTTCATATTGAAGAATACAGGAAAAGTGAAATCCGCATTATCACAATGTTCCAACGTAGAATGAACAAGAGTCTCTGCATGTATGAAAGCACAACGGCTAGATTGAATAGGAGTTACCAGTGTAAAAATTTCATAGAAAGAAAAATGATTATCAAGACAGAAAGAATTAATCGGTGTGTGACAAATGAATGTTATTGTGAGAGAGATAATCTAAAAAGCCACATCAATTACCTGATTGAACTCTAACATAGTTGTCAAGCAAATTTTAATTGGGTTTACCAGAAAAAGACAATACTAAGCCCAATCAACTAGCTGATTTTAATGAATATGCTGAACCATCAACTAACTCAGTCGTCTTGTGAATTTAAATTTTGTATACATAAGCAAACCCATATTGGCCTCATGCACTTTCCTCATATCATTACTCATTGTTGAAGAATGTATAGAGGCAATAAAGAGGATAAAACTGAGGAGAGGGAGAGTGAAAAAAATATTATAGGCAAAATGTACTTTCTGCATTAGCCGGCACCATTGCTTATATCAGAAGATTTGAAAGAGAAAAAGAATATGCACATTCCCAAAATTTTATCATATGATAACTTGCCAAAATTACTCAAAGGATGCATCAATGGTGAATATACTCTTAGTTAAATCAGCATGCTTGATTCTCTATTTATTACTGACCAAATCCCCCTAATCGAGGCCAGCTTTTTATTTTTGTTTTCTTTTCTCTCCTAAACATCTCTATGGACCATAGGAGAGCATTGATGGCAATGATTCATTTACTTTTCCAACCCTCATTGGTATCTAAATTAAATAAATGCTATATTAAAAAAGTATAAGATTATCAATATTCAAAAGAAACACGCTCAATTTCTTACCATCTAGATCAAGAACAAGGGTTACTGATTTTCTTCTCTGAGATGCCTTTGATGTTACAGCAAGTTGATTATCTGATTCTATGTCAGAGAGTTCTGGTAGATTCTTGATAAACGACTGTGGATCAAAGCACTCAGCCTTATCAGACTCAATTATAAGATTAGAACCCTGGTTGCAGGATCTTATCTGCCCTATTGCTGAATAGAGGCTGACATTTTCTTGAACCCTTATGACTTCTTCACATGATCTGATATTAGAAGTACTGTCAATTTTAGCATCATCTTCTAGAGCAGGCAGGACCATGTACTGGTCAGCAGCATCAAACATGGTTGATTCAGCAGATTTATAATCAGATATGCAGCCAGTCTCACTGATATCTCCAGCAAAGGCATCTCCATCCATGGGTAAGCTTGTCATGATCATGTCAGAAATGTAGAAGTCAGACACATCACACGTTTCATAGACACATTCAATTCTTCCATCTTCATTCCCATCAGCTCCCAATCCTCTCATGTCACTATAACCAATGCTCCCAACTAGAGAATGGGAGTTTTCAAGCAATGAATAAAAACATCGGCCACCAAAAAAAAAAAAAAAAAAAGCAATGAATAAAAACATTCAGACAGTCAACGCAAAAAAAAAAAAAAAAAGTAACTAGACACCATATTGAGCAAGTGATAAGTTAACACGTAGCTAAAAAATAGGTTTTGCTGAAGAAAAGATTAGAGAGTTATGATGTAGAAATTTGAGGAATAAATATTTCTACTTTGGGAATAATTAACTGGGGAAGTGGTTAATTAAGTGAATAGATAGTTAATTGATTAATCACTCTTTGCACTTTGTCAACATTTACATGGTTTATTGTTCCTAATTTGGAATTTTTTTGCCAAAAGTTCCTAAATTGTAGTTCTCTCAAAAAAGAATCCCAGTGAAAGATTTTACTCATTTATGATCTACATTTCACACAGATGACTACCCAAACTTTTGGGGATTATGGCTTTCAAATTTTTCACAGTAGTTGAAGAAAGTTTAATTTGCCGCACCACCCATGCTTATTAAGCATGGTCTACATACAATCTCCTTAAAGTGAATGAGCAGAATAAATGCAGTACTTGATTATTGATCCTAATTCCTAGTAGTTAAAAAACAAGACAGGGCCCTGCCACCATTAAAACAAACACACATCTCATGAACAATAGTCCTAATTCATAGCAGTAAATGAGAAAGGACCCAGGAAACCAGTAATATGATGCACGACATAACTACAAATAGAACTCCAGCAGAAATAAATTATCATGGGATAGATCCTATATGATAAATATTTTATCATGCAGAAATAAGTAGAAGAGTGAAAATGTCATATATGCATCTTCATAATTTCTGCAATTTTTAATAAATGAAAAATCACAAAATATGGAGGCATTTTCTTCCAGCTGAAAATATAAAAATAGCCTCACCAAAGGCGCAGTCAAATGAAAAGAGTTTCACTCTTGTAGAGCTCAAAAAAAAAAAAATGCAGGAAGACAAGTGGAGATAATCACAGATTTTTTTTAAAACCATCAACTCTTAAAACATATCATTAATCAAGCTCTTTAGGACTTTGTGCAGAAAAATAAAAGAGCAGGCTACTCCTGGTGCATCTTATCAAGGACGGGAAAAAATTGTGCTCTATGTACAGTAACATCAGTTATACCAGCATCATTGTCAGCATAGTGTTCAGAATGAGCTTCAATGGGCTCAAAAGCAGGAGAAAAAATCGTTTCCAAGTTTGCTGTACATGAGCCATTTGATTCCTGGGACAAGAAAAAGAATTCAGTCAGTAATGCACTGAAAAGCACTTAATCCCAATCCTTAAGAGTCTATGCAGCCGTATGAGAGTAAGTATGGCATCTGAAACAATATAATATACAGATGCAACAATTTTCTAATGATCCAGTATTAAAGTATGGATAGGCATCTTATAAAGAATGTATAAAAGTAATTTTACCACAAATATTGCTGATACAAACCCAACACAGATGTCAGATATTGTCAACATAAATACAGAAGCAGGCCTCAAAGTGGTATCTTAACACAGGATATAACAGACTTTGATAGCAAAAACCAAGGTAGTAAAGGAAAGAATGAACACAAAAAACAAAGCACCAAAAGATCCACCTACCTCCCAAAAATAACAGTAAAGTACACATAGTAAACAGTAAATGCTGAGTAGAAATATATAGTAAGAAACTATAAAAAATTTTAATTTATTTTAGAAAATTTTCATACAGGAATGCCCCAAGACCAGTGTTTATCTAGATGCACCGACTTTCGCACAATGTTTATTAAGGGTCAATATATAAAGTAGAGAAATCCTTATATATGGCAGATTTAAATTACCCCGAACACAAAAGTAACTAGTATGAAGGTGTCAAATACAAACCAAAAAAAATTACAAAAAACAAATGCTATCTAAAGCCAATGCAATCAAACTTTACCATTCTTCCCAGTGGAGGGGAACCAGCAGAAAATGATTGCTGGGGATGGAGATTGGAATCTTCTTTATCCATATGCTCCTTGTTGTCAAGGGATACAGCACCTTCAATGTCTTTTGGGGAGACCTCCGTCTTTGATGTAACTAAAAGAACAAAAACTATCGATGATAAGCATCTATAGGAATTTCAATATACATTTTTGATACAATGCTTCAAAATAAGCCAGACCATGACATATACAGAAAGTAACACCGTTATATAACACAAATAAATCATGTCAAGCAAAAAATCAACTGCAAATGATATAGATTTCTAAAAGTCTACTTTTAAACATAGTTGACTACTGTTGAAAGACTTATCACATATTGTGAGATAAGTGTTACAAAGGAAGAGGAATAATAATAAGTTTGTAATCAGAGAGCCTTGGAATTTGTTATTTTCTAGAAGAGCTACACTCTACCCTCATAATAAGAATAAAGTAAAATACAAAGTGCTGAAGCGCACAAGATTTTTTTTCTTTCAAATTCCTAGTTCTGAAATCATAAACTACAGAAGTTACCAATTGCTTACAAAAATGAAAAATCTGAAATCATCTCAAGCTTTCAAGTGAATTTGCATATCAAACTCAAAAGCAAAATGAAAAGGGAATAAACAGACATGGAAGCACTAATCTCCAAAAGCGACTGAATGAGATCCTTTCATGAGTTAAGCTGCTTACCATCCTGGCAATCGTGAAAAGCAGTGTCTGTTTCAGCCACTTGAGCAGAAATTGTGATCTTAGAGCACGACTTTTTGGAAATTACATTTGATTTTGGAGAGACAGGAAGATCCTTTCTTTCCTTTAAACAGATTGTGCTCACTTTGCTCTTCATTTTTAGGGATGGCATTAGATCTGAGTTTATGATGGGTAACGCAAACTTGCCTTAGGCACATCAGTGGAGAAACAAGACCCCTATAAACAATTCTAGCAGCAGAGGCTGGAGCACGATAAGTAGACAAAAAATTAATCATATACTATGTAGAAAGAAATTATGCATCAAAAGATCGCCACATCCAATAGAAGTTAAATTTCTACATCAGCATCAAAAAATGTTGTGAGCATTTATTTATATGTAAATGCAGTAATTATGGCCATCAAAATCAAAGTTAGACAGTGTGAAGTAGAGGATGAGTGTACTTCTATTAAAAGTAATATAACAAAAACAAGACAAAACATGGAAAGAATAGCAATCTAATAATTTTCTGAATCGATTAAAGAAACTTTCAAATAAGCTCCAATAAATGAAAGACAGAGAGACCTGAGGGAAATCAATAGTTAACGCAAGCAATTATAGAAAACATATCAAAACAACTTCCTGGCAATCACGGTTTTACCAAGAAACCGGGAAATCAATAGTTAACGCAAGCAATTATAGAAAACATATCAAAACGAAACAAAAACTTCAATCAAACATACGAATTTTACATTCCCGATTATTATTTTGCAAGAAAACAAGGGGAATCCCCACACCTATACACCCTTAAGGTTCATCAAGAGAGCGAACAAAAACTATCTGTTCAAGATAACCCAAAATATTAAAAAAGGGACTGTCTAGACTTACAGTATCCAGTATTCAGCATCCATCCACAACAGTTAACCCTCCCAAAACAGAACTACTGAAAGTCCTCAGAAGACGCCTATCTACGTCATAACATGAAAAGCGACCTAAAACCTATGCTCTTTAACAAACACAATTTTCAACTTAACGGGCGAAATTGGAAGTCAACCATAAAAATTATCACAGCAAAGCAACACAAAACCCAGAAGTCACGGCTGAGGTAGAGATTAACGAAAAGAGGAAAAGTTATCAAAAGCAAAAGTCAAGACAATCGATGAATTAAAAATTAAAACCCTCAACAAAGAACAAGAACGAGAATAAACCCAACTTACGGTTATGCATCAGTATAACTAACACACACAGTTCGAAGCGAACAGGGAAAAAATGGGAGGAGACCATAATAATATTGAAACAGCAGTTCATAACATCAGTAAATAGCTAAATAAAACCCAAATTTATCGTAATTTACAGTGAAATTCCTGTGGAAAAGCAGCTTACCTGTGTGGCAGCAGAGCCCCCTCTCTCTCCTCTCTCCCTCTCCCCCACTCCCTCTCTCTTCCTGTATACGTCTCTCTCTCTTAGCTTCCACGAGTCAGACAGAAATAGCGTTTGGGGTCTATTGGATGCTTTGACGGCTGGGATGGTACCTGGGGCAATTGGTTCCACCGGTAATAATAAGCCACGTGGTATATGGAACCATCTCAGCATGACGCGTTGACACGTGCTGCTTCGCGGAAAGAAAGGAGGGAAGTAGAAGCTTTTTGAGCTCCTGGCGGGGCGATGAATTACATGCTATTGTCGACCGCCCTGAACAGCGCGTGTTCTTCACGTCTTATATTCCCGTGGAGAGTTTCTTTCTGCTTGTTCCAGTGGCTGGTGAGGACTGAGGAATCGCCGGTGATGAGGAGCTTCCCTCCAAAATCCGAAGCCTAGTGTAGACAGATTAGTTCTCCCCTCATTTATATATATATATATATATATATAATATATCATATAATTTTAAAAAATTAATTAACTATAATAATCATATTTAAAAATAAAAAATTAAATTAAAATACCCTATATCAATCAATAAAAATATATATTAATTATTTTTCATTAATGTAAATTACAAAAATGATTTAAAAAATGCATAATAAATACTTATTGAAACATCTAATTTTGCTTATATAAAAAAATAAGTAAAAAGTAATAGTTTTTCTTATGGATAGAAACGGAGTAGTACGTTCTTTCAGTTTTATTCACAAATCGCTTTTTTAAAAAAATAATAATGTTTTTATAAATCAATTTGTATAAAATTGTATGTTATTAATTACTTTCTCCCAATTTTATTTTATTTTTTTTACAATTTTTGATAAATATAGAGTAAAAAGTTAAATGAGAGATAGAGTGTTTTTAAGGATGATGCATTTAATAAGAGTAAATTAGATAATTTCTTTCTTTATAGACACTATCAATAACTTAATTACCTATTATTAATTTTCGTAAAATAATTAGAAGTGACTTATAAATAAGATCAAAATAAATAATAAATTATTTTAATTGCTCCTTTCGTTAAAAATAGAAAATATTTTTAATTAAATTATATTCTAGTCTTATTTATAAGTCACTCTCAACACATTTTATCAAAATTAAAAAAAAATTTAAATCTCATTAACTTTGTCTTAAAAATTAACATTTATCCCTAATAAATATTCTTAAATTTTAGTAGTAGTATTTTTATTCAAGGCATTTAATAAGGGTAAAAATATAAAAATGAATATTAAAAATTGACAAGTTTTCTATAAATGTAATCAAATTGTTTATTCTCTCTCTACCTTATAAATAGGACTAGAGGAGTATATTTAAGTTAGCTAATCGTCTTTAATCTTACACTATTTTTTTTATATTTGCCTTTAGTTAATAAAGTGTCTCATTTGAAAATAAAGGGATTTATTTATTAAGGATATTTTAAAAAACATATTAATTATATATTGAAAAACTAAAAATTCATTACTCATTCCCTTCAAAAATATAAAGAATTTGTTTTGAGAATAAGATGTTAAAAATATAAGACATTTTGAATCTTTTAAAGTGTAATTAATTATTTTTTTCTTAAAAAACTCTTAATTAGCGGTGAAATTAATAATTTTTTTAAATTGAGGCAATATTAAAAAGAGCATAGTTTGAATCCTTACTGAGAGATGTGCCCACACTTAATGCTCAATCATGTAACGAACAAGATTGTCTTCAATAAAATAATATATGCAATAAAAAAAGGAGTAAACATAGAAAGAGTGTGTAATTTTAAAAATAATTAGCTAACTTATTAAGGGTGTGACTTAGTTAAAAATGCCTTAAAATGTCTTATATTTTAACATCTTATTAACATCCAACCTAAAAAATGTCTTATATTATTTAACGAAGGGGGTATGTCAGTGTTAATATTTAATCATTTTATTTTTATTTATTTTTTAAAGCTAAACTAAAAATAATTCTTTTTAGTCTTCATTATGTGGTCTATAAATGGATATTAAAAAAAAATAGGTTTAATGAATTGGTATTTTGATAAGTATCTAAGATGATAAATGAATAGGATATCTGTGCACTTGCATAATCTGATCTATTTAAGACAAAATATCAAACTATAAATTAAAATGAATTAAAGTCATTTTTGTCCCTCAACCGTACATGAAAGGTCATTAAAAACTTTAAATTCAACTATATGTCATTTATATCCCTCAACCTTAATGACTCTTTCTTCCATTACCCTACCGTTTTCTCCATTCATTTTTTCCATTAATAGGGCCCATATTTGAATTTTTAAATATTTATATTATGAAATATTGCATAGTAGGTCCCACCAATATATTTTTATATTTTTTATAATATAAAAAATCCTTCTCTCTCTCCGCTCTACTTTCTCTCTCTCCCCCAGCTAGTTCTCATGCCTTATCTTAGCTTGAGTCACCCCATGTGCACCATCAAGTTCACTAAGCTTCTCGTCAACTACCATGAACACCTTTCCATCACCATCCTCATCATCAAAGCATCATTTGACCAAGCTATCAATGCCTACACCCACTTTCTCACCTCCTCATCTTCATTCCCAAATCATCTTCACTTTACTATCCTTCCTCCACATTCCATACACCCTAAGCCTAACAACTCTTACTCTCTTGATCTATCTTCCCTCTTACACTCTCTCATCAAAGGCTAGAAGCTTAACGCTAGAGATGTTGTGTCTAAACTAAGGCTACACATGGGCAAGGTTGGGCCAAGCATCACCCTTGCCTAGTGCCTTGCCTGATGTGTAGTTCAAGCCAACCCGATGTTAAAGTGTTTGGGTCAAGCTTGGCCTAATTGACCCGAAAAAATCTTACAAATAGTTTTTTGAAGAATATAAGGTTAAGATTCATTTTTATCCCTCAAATGTACTCAAAAGTTCACTAATAACTCTAAACTCAACTATGGTTTAATTGCATCCCTTAACTTTTAGAATCTGTATCTCAATGCCCCTCATGTTAATGTGACAAAAAAATTCGTTAGTGGACCCTACTTTTTACTTGACCTATTCTTTTAAATAATAAATATAATAGTAAGGCCTACTTTATTTTTTATTATATTTTTTACACCTCATACCCTCAGTCTCATCTTATCTCCTATCTTCATCATCCATCTCATCTCCCTTATATATATATATATATCATTGACTTTTGAGGAATCATGCTGAATCAAACCTATAACTTAAAGTCAAGCTAATGCACGCCCTAACCAAGTACCCAGTAAGCTATGAGTTCAAAAGGCTCTATTCTAGACTTCTCTTCAAAACTCCAGCCTTACCAGTAGTCTATGAGTGATTCCATTGCCTACCTCGATATGGAAATCCTTGAGGAATGTCAAGACTCGGTGGCCCTAGAGCCTACCTTACGTTTGACAAGCTTGATGATAACCAACTGATGTTTATGTTCTTCGATGATATTGGCTTGACTTTATTGGCACTATCATCTGCGATTGCACTAAATCCATCCATATCATCTAATGATCTACATAGCAATTACAAGGAGAAGCTTATAGTGCTTAATGACGTCATCCCGCATAGGAATGAGTGTAGTTGGTAGCATGGGAAGCTAAGGAATTGAGGATTGTTCTAAGATTGAAGTAAAAGGTGTTGTTTTGAGTGACAGTTTCAGTGCATGTGCATTTTTCACGAAGGAAAGTAGGGGCTTCTACTGCTTTAAAGATGGGAGAATAGAGGATGTAAAGAAACATAGGGAGGATGATAAGGTTAAAGGAAGAGCTATAGTTAGATGAGGATAAGGATGAGGAAGAGAGAGAGAAAGGGAAGTAGGAGGGAGGGAGGAGAGAGAAATTAAATAAGAGAGAGGACTTGGCTCATCGCAGATATTACTAGCTTGCTTCATCTATTTAGCCTAGCTCTCTGAGGTGCAGAATGTGACAAGTAAGCCTTTTGAGGCTAAGCGCTAGTCAAGTTTGAGAAGAGGCTTGACATAGCCTTGGCTAGAGAAGGAGACTAAATAAACGTGTGCAAGGGAATCCACAGCAAGAGTAGTATGTGCAAGCAAGGAAAGGGTGAGGGAAAGAGAAAAGTGTAACATTTTGAATTTCTTAATCCCGTGAATAGCTGTTAATCTAGGGTAAAGTGATAATTAGTGTGGGATTAGAAATCTGGATAATTACTTAATAGTTTGACTCGTTAGGATGTTGTATGAACAGATACGATTGGAAGGATAACGTTTCGGGTCGGAGTAAGTGCATATGGTGAGAATTCTTACCTTAAGTGCAGCTTATATTGATGGACTAAAAAATGACCCCATAAGTCATGAATTTTGCATGAACTTTAAAGAGAGAAATCAGAAAACACATGAAAGAAGAAGAGGAAAAGGGCTGGTGTGCTAAGGCAAGCCATTTCAGATCATTAGAAGGTGCTTTTGACTAGTAACTTATTAGGTAAGCTATGTATAACCCTTACCTTCCATTCTACCCAAATTTCTTTGAATAAGAATTATAGAGAAATTGAATCGGTGAAATTTAAGGGGTTTGATTCTTACCTAAGAGTAATAAAAAGGTTCTCGGGAGTTAAATTAGAGTTTTGTGACTGGTTTAGAGCTTAACGATAGAGCTTTAAACCCGTAAGCTCAATTTGGCCTTAAATTATAGAGGAAAAGGGGTAAAAATAGTATTTAAGTTAAATGAGACCAATCGAAGTAATGTAAAGTAATAATCGAGTAGTAATGGACCTAAAATGGATAAATGAAAAAGAATAGACGACTAGACATAGCCATAAGTAGTAATTATGTACTTTTGGTCAAATTGGACTAATTGATTAAATTGTGCCAATTGTGTTTAGATTGGCAAATTGCATGTGTGGGTTGAGAAAAAAGGCTTGTGACAAGCTATAGTGATAGTTGAACTTCAGGGTTAACCTTTCTAGTGACAGAAGGGTTGAAGTAACTAAATAACTTTCTCTGTTTAACTATTTATTGTAACTGTGTATTAATATGCTATTTAGTGGATGAAATGATTTTAAATAAAGCATGATTTATGGCATTTTGTAAATATTGCATGAAATAGCTTTTGATCAAATAAAATTATACAAACATGTGATTTGATATTATATATATATAAGTTTTG